AAGACCTTTCTCCCTTTTCTTTCTCTTTTTTTCATTCCCTTTAAAACTCTGATTGCCGCCGTTCTTTTTTCTTTTATGGCACATCGCACTTTGAGATTATGCGATGGAGATAAGAATAATAAAAAAAAAACAGCGATGGTTGAATAAATTTAAATACACAAAAAAACATACATACAGAATGAAAAGACAGTGAGTGAGAGAAAAGATGGCAAGTGTAGACAAAGAAAAAGGAAAAGAGAAAATTACCATCATGAAAATTTAGACGATAAAATAATTTTAATGTTTTAATTAAATACGCATTAACGTTACCACTCTTTGTGAAAAATTAACTTTTCACTCTCTTACTCATCTCGTCATCTTATACTACTTCAATAATGAATGAACATGAACTTTGTCACATTGTCATTGACATAATAATTCAGTTCATAAAATCTCTGGTTGAGTTTTAAAGTTCACATACCTAATATGTTGGGAACCATACAATATGTTGCAGGACAAATAATTTTACATCAGTTGATTGTCTAGAATTTCTTGAGAAAGTTTCTCTGATTAATATACAACTAATGAAATAAGTGTTTGAAGTGTTTTGAGGGAGTTTCTTGATGCTTAAACAGAAAATAAGTTTCTTAATTCAAAAATTAACAATAAGTAGTAATAACTGTAATCGAAATAGAAGAGTAGTTTTATGAGGGCGCTTCTTAGTTATTATGATATTGCTTGAAGTCATAGATGAAAATGTCTAATTGGATATATTTTTAGTGTTCTCTTTACCTCTGCTCATCTTGATCTTAATTTTTAAAAGATTTGTCAAGATTCACCTTTATAACGAAGCAATACTGACATTAGCTTCTACATCTAGCAGACTTGGATGTACTCTAGATTTCATGAGACTTTAATTGAACTTAATTATGCTTAAGGTAGCTTTCCAACATTCATTTTATCTCATCAACTCTTCATAAACTATTAAAATTCCTTTGTGATAAATTAATGCGGCAAAGAAGAGAACATCAAGTCTGACATGAATGTGAATAACCGGTAGTAATTAATTCGTCAAAATGATGAGAACCTTTGAAGTGGAATTGATGTTTTTGAACTTCTTGATTCAACTTGATGCATCAATTTCATTTTTAAGAAAACTTAAATAAAAAATGTGTAGAATATTGAATTCAAGCTATATCATAGAAAGGCAAGAAATACAATTAAAATCAAAGAAAAATACCAATAAAAGAAAGAGTGATTCTTAAATTTCGTATTTGAATAATTTAAAAATATAAAAAAAATGCATGAATATTGAATCTACACCAATAATTTTATCGATAGTTAAACTTAGAATACTTTTTCTCGACATAAATTAACGAATTTTGTTTCTAAACGGATATTAGTTTGATATATTTTACTCATTTCTTAATTGAGTTCTTATCTGTGCATCCGTAAATGTGATGACTTCATTAATTTAAAACTATAAACAGCAGAAACTTCCGGTTTATGTTTAGGAAATTGGCACAAATAAGATATAAATTGAAATCGTTATATCTTAATCGTATGCTTATCGTATTGCTTAACAAAAAACAAAAAATGAATAGTCACCTTCTTGAAAACACGCCAGTTCTTTTATCATTGAAACGTATCAATAAAATCTTAGACGAACATTTAATTCACATTAATATGCTCAAAATTACAATTTTTAATCATGAAACAACATAAAGAAATCAAGAACATCAATTTGTGATTCTTATTATTATTCTCATGATGATGACTTTCAATTAAATGCTGCTGTTTGCCTTCTCGTTTTAAGTAGCCCTTTTCTCATTCTCCTTTCATTTATTGTTCTCAGTATTATTTTCGTATACTCTTCTTTTACTTCCACGTTTCTTTGTTTTTTTCCTGTTCCATAGAATGCATGTCCATATTTACGCATGTCTATATAAGAATGATATGATACAGGAAATGTGTATTTTTCATGCATTTTAAAATTAATACCTAGAATACCTTATAAATTTATACATAGGTACAAAAAAAAAGAATTCATAAGTTATTATCGTATTACAAAAATTTATTCATCCAATTATTTATTTGTTCAACATACAAATGAGACTTGAAACATTGTAAATAACAAAATATTATTTTTGGGTCACAGATGTACAGAAAATCTTAAAATAAGCTTTGTGTAAGTGATCGTCAAATGAATATTGCTATGATTAAAATATTATTAAATGCCATTCGTATTAAAATAAGTTTTATGGTATGTATCTTAGTCATGATCATAAAACTTAAGATAATTCAAATTTAAATTTTAACAGAGTCTAATAATAATAATAACATCTGTAATTATGTAGGATAAGTATATTGAAGGATTTCTATGCTTGACAACTTGAAACGCTTTAAGCAATTATGTAATTCACAGTTTGCAATTTTAAAGCAACAAAAATGTTTTTTCAGGTGTGGTTTTCTTACTTTAATAAAGTTAACTTTTTATCATGCTTCTTTATAATCATGTACACATCTGCTTTAAGTTTGTGTATTTTATTGATTTTAAAATGACCTTTTGTAATTTTACAAATTTCGTATCATACTTATGCTTTAACAAATTTGCCTACAAATTATTTCGAACCATAAATATGGTCTTGTTAGATGGCCTAGTCAAACGTTATTATACAAAACAATGTTAAGAATGTCACAGATGCTGAGTTTCGTATTTTCATAGACCCATAAAATCTAGTCATATAATTGAATTATTACTTTTTCGTGTTTTAATGATAATAGCAGCAAACTTACTCATCAATTATCGATCGATTTTTTTGCTAATTGCTGGTTACTTATTTATAAGTTTTGGCTATGCATTGTTATAATTTGATCAATACGTCTTTTAATGTTTCAAAATTCAAAAACTCTTGAATAAGTTTAAGATAATAAAATTCCAAATCTTAAAACTTATCTTACCGGTGCTCTATAATTATTTTCATATTTTATTCATCTATTATATGCGACGTTCATATTGAGCTGAAACAGATATCTCTATTTGTGCACAGTGGGAGGCATTCAAATAGGATTTCTCCAGAATCGTTTTTAATTTTCTAATAATCTTGAGTGCCTTTATAATCATTTTTTATCATATTAAGTATTAATTCTCAAATATATTATTATTATTATAATTATTTATTCTTTTCTTTACTTTACTAGAAAAGTTTTTTTTTTATTTTTTATTTTACTTTATTGTTCGTTGTTCTTTCTCACAAATTAGAAAAAGTATCATGCTAGTTTTTGGCACACATTATAGCAATGATTTTTGTTTCATTTCATGACTAAGATAAATAAATTGTTGTTTTTCAATAAGTTTTATACTCAACAGCTAGTATCATTATATCATTGGCAGCATAAAATAGCTGAAATTAAATTTTGAGGAATTAAAAAGCTTTCAGCATTAAGTTTTATATTTTTATTTTAAAAAATGTTTTAAATTTGCATAAAATATTCACAGGATTTTCTTTGCTAACGCTATTCATGCTTTTGAACGGCCCATATAGTCAAATGGAATAGATACAACACAAATAGTGTAGACGCTTCGTAAAATAAAAAAAAAATCTTCATGTGGTGAAACATCAAAAAATGTCGAGCAGAAAAAAAGAAAAAACCAGCTAGAGCATAAAACTTAATTAAATTGTGACATCTATATTTTCCCTGTTGACATTTATTTGCCACAAATGTGAAATACAAAAACAAACTTGTGTACTTACTGAAAAAAAAATTATTTCACGCGTTGTTGTCCATTTAAAGACTTGCTTTTTTGCTGGTATATAGCAAGCAATGATATTTTGCTGTTCCAGTTGGTTTCTAAATCCTTGTAGCAAAGAACAGAAGAAACATTAAGTAATCAAAGTTCATAAACAATGGTTGTGATTACGAGCAAAAAAAGTAACAAAATTCGTGATTTAACAGGGTTAAAACAAGTGTAATTTTACATCCTTATCTGTTTATTTTCCAATCATCAAGAATTCTTTTATTCATCAAGCAAATCAGAAAAGTAAGAGACAAGTTGATGCAATAAAAATTGAGGAAAATATTAAAAGCTATTTCATTGAAATGTATCCAAATGAGTTTAAAAGTTTTATTTTAATTTAGTTTGCATAAAATATAAAATTATGCAGATGCATTAAGTAGCTGTATTAGAATGATTAGATCTCAAAAAGTCTGACTGCAAAATAATAAAAATTTTCAATTCTACGACAGGATCAACTAAACTTCCTGAATCGAGTTGAACAGGAGTTAAAAGTTTTGTTGGTGGATTTAATCTCATGATGTTGAAGAAAACTAATTTTCTACTATTATGATCATGCTTACACATCTTCTCATCAAAAACTAGTTGAAAAGTGGAATAATCTGATTCCTCAAGAATGCTTAATGCTGCTCATTGTGCTTCTGTAAACAGCTAGTCATGTGCAAATGCTTTCAGCAAATAAATACTAAAGTTGATGCTGCTGAAATGAGAAAAAAATAATTGTTCAACGTGTTTCATTGCGACAACTGGGAAAGAGATGAAAAAGCTAAAATGTCATTTCTAGTGTTATTTCCACTGCTGCTGTTGAATCAAGGCAAAGTGGTCTTGCTTCTCTTTGCTATAGCTGTTCGTATAGTGTTACCGAATGCCATTGTAAGTCACAGAAAAGCGTGCACATCCAAAAAAACAATTTTCTATTGTGACCTTTTTCATTTTATTTTGAGAAATAAAAAAATATGTGTAGGGAAGAGAAAAAAAATACACTTGCATAGTGGGATGGAAAATAAAAACAGAAAAAATTGTTGTAGGAAAATGTATTAAAATTTCTTCTGTCAGAATCTCGATGGAGTGCTTGAGTGCAATCAGAACAATGACAATAAGATTTAAAGTGAATATAAAAAATCCAATTTTTATATTTGAGCATAAAAAAGCAAATCTGTGACTAGCCATTTTACCTCTTTGCACATTTACTTGTTCTCATGGATTTTTCTTCTTTTATTTTTAGAGCTTTCAAAATGGTGACGATAACAAAGTTCCAACTTAGTCTTCTGATATTTACAATATTATTATCATTAAACAACGCAAGCAGCTTAAGCAAGTGTCCACTAGATTGTTATTGTGATCTAGATCCAACTGGACGTTATTATACAGAATGCAATGAGCCAAACTTTTCTGAATTTAAAGATACAGATTATGACCGTAAAATGGAAGTGATAATTATCCGAGATCCAAAATATCCACTGACTATTGGTCCCGTATTTTCACGCTTTAAAAAGTTAGAAACATTAAAGATTGTTGGTGCAAATATTCCAGCAATTGGAGAACGTTCTTTTTGGGGTGTCACATCATTAAGATCATTAGACTTATCTTTTAACAACATCACGCTAATTAATAATGAAAATTTCTATGACCAAAAAAACCTTGTCGAATTGAATTTAGCAAGCAACAAAATTGGAAGAGTGCCCAGTGGTTCATTCAGTTATTTGATGGTAAGTTTCAATTCAAATAGGTTGTAATTTAATTAATTTTTATTCCTTTGTTTTATTTTCAGAACTTACGCATATTGAATCTGGCTGATAATTCTTTGAAAGAATTGCTTCCAAGGACATTTCAAGGTTTATCAAAACTACGATATCTGGATCTTAGTGAAAATCCTCTGAATGATTTTAATCCAAATGTACTCCGAGATGTTAAAGTAAATTTCAATTTAGTTCCCAATTTTCATGTTTTTGTTTGCTTACATCATCATCATCACAATGATTATATCTTCATATCTTAACCTTTTTGTTTTCTTTCATTTTCTATGTTTCTACCTTTTTTTCTCTTTAGGATCTTCGTGCACTAAAATGTCGAAAATGTCAATTGAAGAACGTGAACCCAACATTATATTCCTTATTGAGGCAACTATCAGAGCTAGATTTTGGAGAAAATCAGGTAAACCGTAAACATCTTGTGTATTATTCAGACTTTATTGCATCATTTTTGAAATTGACTATTGAAGTGGTTATTTTATTAGATTTTCATGAAAATTTTATTGTATGCTTGACTTAATCTGTCTGCGATGAAGATTTTAAACATTTGCCTTTAAATGATGAGGAGAACCAAATAAAAATATTATTCTTCATTTAATTTTAATTTTAAGGTAGTTTAGTAATGACTTCATAAAAAAATACTAACTTACGAATTACATCACAGTACCAAATGTCAAATAACTTTCCTTTGTCACAAAATCTAAGACCTCTTCGCCTAAACGATTTTCGCGTATGGGTTTATTTTGATAGTTTATGCTTCATGGTTTGTCATTTCTCCAATTTGAATCTTTAAAGTGACTTTTTCAACCCGCATGAAAAAGAAAACTTTTTTTTCATTTGCACAGATTTTTTTTCACAGCCAACATTTATGTTTATTGTTATTTTTTCATATCACTGAACACTCAATGAGATATAGCATGCCACACTTTGTGGTGTAATTTTTTCATTTACTCTATGGTTTTGGATCCCAATATTATTAATAAATTTATACATGTGTGGAATTGATTTTGTGGTATGACACATTTCATACATCATTCAATTGATATAGTTAGCAAGCAAACATTTGTAAATGTAGACCAGAAATTCATTTAGTTCTGCAAATATTTTTTTTCTCTGCCTTACTCTCTCTCTCTCGCTCTCCATTGTTTGTTTTTATCTTTACCAATTTACATATATGTGTCCATTATATAAAACATGTAATACATACATTCTTCTTTACACTTGGCAGCTTCAACATTTAGATGCGGACGAGTTCAAGGATTTGAAATACTTGAAGCATATACATTTGGATAGTAACCAATTGTCGACGATTGTCAGTGGCTTATTCTCTAGCCAAAAGGGTCTTGAGTATTTAGGTAAGTTCTATTTTCCAACAGAACGATATTTGTGCTGAAACAATTTATTAAATAAAAGAATTTCCCGCAGAAGTTCTTACAAAGATTTAAAATGCTTTCAAAAATGTGAAAGCATTAGTCTGCTTGAAAATTTAATGTGTTTAAGGATAGAAAGATACAAAAATTTAAAAAGAAATACATAAGTCGAACTGGGCATATATTGTATATTTCCGAAAATAATCTGCTCAGTTGAAATTTATTCAATGAAAATGTTTAATTCATTTCTGTTCCTCTTCAATGATTAGAGATTCCTATCCTTTATAACTGCTTGTTATTTACATTCTCAATGCAATCATTTCCACTCAAAGGTTTTCTTGTAAAGCTTAAAATTATAGTTTTGCCTTTTTTCCTTTCTTTACGGAATTTTATATACCAGGAAATATTTTTTCAATGACCCTTAAGAACAAAGCAGAAAAGGAACTCGACTTTTATGTTTAATAATCTTTAAAAAGCTTTTTTATTCACGTAAATTTATACCTTTCATTTTCAGATCTTTCACGTAATCGTTTAAGAAAAATAGAAAGTCAAGCCTTCAATAATTTATCAAATCTAACATATCTGGATATATCGTATAATAAGTTGCCTACTCTCGAACCAAATGATATGTGTGATTTGCCAAAATTGCACACACTCAATATAAGCGGAAATGTGCAGCTTAACTTATTTGAAATGAGCGCAGTGTTGCAAAATATGTCAGAATTACGGTCCCTATCAATTGCTGATATTACAAATTTACCATCGGATATTTTTGAAACATTAAATAACCTTCAATCATTGAACATATCGGGTGCTGGATTAGGAAGTAACATTAGTCGTATATTGCAGCCGATGATTATGTTGAAGGTATGTATGCGACTATTCATGGAATTTAAAAGATTATTCGATTTGGAAAGCATATGCCTCATTCGCATATGACTGATTTAAATATTTTCAATTTCCTGTCTGATGTCAAACTTTTCCCATCTATTTGCCTCCGCAATTTTTTTTCCAAATCATAAGGTATGCCTATACATATACATGACATACAACATGTCAATAATGTTAATCATATCAGTAAGGAAATTGTGAAGTAATCAGAAATAATAAAAACATTTTCAACGTCATTGAATAACAAACACAAAATCATTTTTCATTCTTTTTTTGATTTTTTGATGGAAATAACTTACTTGTAGGAATTGGATATATCGAGAAATTTCCTGACTGGATTTGATGAAGAATTGGTGGAAAAATTGCTGAGCATCGAAAATGTTCACTTCGAACACAATAAAATCATATGTGATGTTTGTAGCGTGGGTGCTTTGGTCGATCGCAAACTTTTGGTAAGAAATGACTTGACTAATCTACTAGACTTCAAATATATATTGCATAAATTCATTATGTCCTGTATGTATATTTAGATGAAATGGAAATACATGCCGTCATGCAATCAACCGGATCATTTACGACATAAGCCAATAAATCGATTGATTAAAGAAAACTTAGTCGCATGCTATGAGAATTTAATACTTGATGGGGGCAATGATGCTGCAAGTACATCATATAAAATCCTCCACGAAAGCCAAATCAACTTAATCGCTTTTATGGGCGCATCTATTTTCGTTCTATTACTACTGATAATCATCATTTCAATCTCCATTTGTACAAGACAACGAGCGCACTATTATACAAGAGAGGATGGAAAAGGAGGTAAATAATGACCGTTAATGCTGAACAATAAATTTTAAGCTATATTTTTCAAAAGCAATAGCTTTATTTTTCACTTTTTTCTTTAAAATTTGAACTTTAATTAATGTTGAAAATTAAATTTGGTTGATCAAATAGAATCATAATTTATTAATCAATAAAAATGCGTCTTATTCACTCATTTTAAGAATACTTTTACAGTGTCTAAATTTTCTTTCTGTATTCTTTGCAAGCTCTTTATATAAGATTGATTGAAATTTTCCTTTTTTTATTTTCTTTCAATGCTTTTCATTTTTCCTTTTCTTGTTTGATTTTCTGTAGAACTTTTATCTAATTCCAGAACAAGCCAACAGTGAGAAATGTCTAGAGGGATCACTTTTACCCGGAACGGAAATAAATTTTAAATTTCCACTTGATGACGATAATATTTGTACAGTAGACGAGATTTGTTTGCCCCAACCACCATCTAAATATTTATCATCTAGTATGAGATCTAGCTGATATTATTTAAAAGAAATTCAGCATAGTGAGTTGCTTTAAATATTTAATTTAATGAATAACTTTATTTTAAACATTAAATGAACTTTTAAATAATTATGATATTTACAAATTTTATATAAGAGATTTTTTAAGGAGATAGAAATAATTATCAAAAGATATTTTTATATTATGTACATGGAAATTTTACTCAAGTGACTATGAATTATTGTAATTTAGATATTTGTGAATTTTTTTTTTGTAAATATTATTTTTTAAAATATAATTTTCATATCGTCGAAAATCGATCTTTTACTGCATGAGTTAACAACATATCCGATTTAACTTTTCAAGTTTATAATGAAAATTGATGCAATGGTGAATGTTTCGAAGGTTTTCTTATTCCCAGCTACATGTATTCTTATCGACATAAATGTACAATATTATTTGATATTATAAAATATATTCGAGTTTCATTTATCTTAATTTTTCAAAGTTTAGTGTATCACCATCATCATACATGTTTATATATTCTTCAATAATTTGTCTTTGATATAGAAATTTAATATTTTTAAATTTAATGACTATCATAAAGTCAGTTTCAAAAAGATAACTATAGAAATTATAGATATAATTTTTTTAAAAGAACTGATTACAAATACGAATAGAAATCTCATGATGAAGTACATACATACTTGCAAGATATTTCCACTTCATAAAATATGTTAAGCTGATGAGAAATTTTTAAAAAAATTTAATGACAAATAATAAAAAAGATGTGGTAATAATTTAATTAAGTGGAGGAAATAATTTTTTTTTATATTTTTCGCTCTTATTTCCTTATCATGACATGAATATTGTGTGAATGAAAGCATCAAGCAACGGAAGCAGTTGAAGAGAAAGGAAAACTTTGTATAAAAAAAAAGTTTGTTTGAAGCAAACAAAAATGTGTCAATTAAATCATTTAAGAAATTCCCTTTTTTATAAGCGGTTAAAAATGAATGAAAGTTTTATTTTATTCAAATGGCAAACAAAAGTTTGTGCACAATTTCCCATAGGCAAGGATCGTGAACACCTTTTGGTGCCTGTCATACAGTATGTTTTATTGAGAAAGGTTTTTAAATTAAAAACTTTATGTCGCGTGGCAGATTTGTAAAATATTTACCTGTGCTGAGTTATGAGGTTGCTTTATTTCAGAAGCGGTGTTTTTTCTGATTTCTTTAACAACTGAGGATGTTTACAACTAAAAACTGCGCTTCTTGAACTGATGATTCGCACAATTGTTCACTTTTCTTTTTCCTTTCATTGCAATATCAAAATTTATGACTCAATTCTTGATGAGAATGAAAGAAAAACAAAAAAAAATATATATTTTTGTTATCATCAGATGAGAATTTTTCCATTTGTGGCTTCTAGTTGGAGAACAAAGGAAAAAAAAGTTATGAAAATTGCACACAATTCATTTATGCTGACATAATCTGAATGCTCGAATTTCATTTTTTTATATGGATGAATAAAATTAAAAAATTATAATTTAAATATTTTTCTTGTTTTTTTTTGTATACAATGAAAATTGTGAGAAAAGAAAAACTTTTTTATAGTCAAACAAAAAATGGAATAAAGGAAATTTTTACATAAGAAAAGAATTGGTTTTATGCATTGAGTGCCTTTAGAATGACTCTAGAGACGATAAAATAATTGAAAATTAAAATTGAAAAATTAAAGAAACTTTTATATTTCCAACAGAGTTGATATTCATGCTAATCTGCTATAACATCCGATCTGTAATTTGAGTTCAGTAGCTTGAAAGGATTTTAACGGTCAATCTTTTTTTTTATCTTCTTTATTGAGTTTTTATGTTCATTTATACACAAAATCTTTGAATAGTCACTGATTCAATATATTTAAAGATTTCTGTTTATTGAAACATAAACAACCCTGCATATGAAAATGAATTTTTTTACTTGCATGTAATAAAAAAATTATTTTAATTTTTTGTAACTAGTTAAGTGAGAAAAATTAATTCAATTAAGAGAACAAAATTAAATTTCGTTTCACCATAAATTTACGTTATTTTGTTTTTAACTGCCAATGATTTCCTTTTTGAATAAACAATTTTCACACAATTTCATTTTCATTAAATAATCCTCTTAATTATGCAAAAATTAAAATAAAAAAAAAAACTTTTATTTAAATGTGACATGGATTAATTAATTAATTTAACACACGTTTATGATAAATTATCCATTTTTCGACTTTAACAATAAAAATTATTATTTTTACTGTCCATAAACTGATTATATACACTTTATTTTAATTTTTTATAAATGCAGTATGGAAGGAACACGAAATGAATTGGGTAGATTTTTTAACATCTCTTTAAAAACAAAACTCGTTCTCTTTGCACAATTTTTTATAATTAAGGTCAACGCGAGAAGGAAGAAATCCACAGCGTGAGTTCAGTCATTTTACAAATTTCATTTTATTTACTCAAACCAATACTCTTAATTGTTTTAATTTATGGAAATTATACGAATTCAAAATATTTAATTAAGTCAAGCATACCTTTTTCCATTCATTCCTTTCTTTTGGTTTACTATACTGAGTACCGATTCGAAAAGTCATATTCCGGTTACATTAATACCAATTTATAATGAAATATTTCTCCTTTTATAATTTTTTATGCGAAGTTGAAATTACAAATTAATAAAAAAAATTCTGAAAAGAAGCATTACTTTACCCAAAAACATTATATTACATTTTGATTGTTAATTTTATAATTTTGTATTTTAACGATTGGCGTTCAATTTAAGATGCAAATGGCTTATATTGGTCAAAGAATATATTGAAATGTAATGTAATTTAAACTTTTAGATTTCAAATTAAATTTGGAAAAAAATCTGAATAATAGGATGTCGCGTACATCCTAAAGAAGTGTAAAAAAATTTTCATAACGAACATAATTCAAGCGTACAAAGTAAAAATAAACTGAACTAAAAATACAAGACTTGAATTTTTATTTCATTTTCCTCTTTTAATAGCTTCCAATTAATCATTACGTGATTTCGATACTTTATATAAAGATATGGCTATTATTAAGTTTTCATATGAATACGAGTATCAAATTTATTACTATGGCAGTGTAGCAAAATCATATGATAAAAAATATTAGTTTTATGGTTCTAATGTTCAATTAGAAAAAAACGATAAAGAACAGAAATAAAAGAAAAAATATTTTAAACGAATTTCTTGACTTTTATTTTCTAAAGCTTAATCAAAAAGAGGTTGAGCAATAAATGCGGTAAATCTTTCATAATTAGAAATTTTAATATAGCGAGAGTTTTTCATCATTTCGTTTCCATATCTGTTGATTAGGAATTCATTATTTGCAGCATTGGGTTTTTAATTAATAACAAATATTGACTCACTCATTCTAGTTCATATTACCACAAAAATAACCTCAGGATGAAATGCCTTCTTGAAAAATGAACAAATATAAAGTCGTTATGATATTTTTCATTATATTTTTTAGATTCCATATCCATTTCTTTTATTAAGTTTATGTTTATTCAAGGTGTAATAACTCGCTCCAAAACAACAGTTACTTAATAAATCCTGTGATATTTTGTTCAGGCATTTTTCTGTATTTTTAAATCATAAACTTGAAATATGATCCCTAAACAGAAAAGATAAAAAAAAATGAAGAGATAATTAAAATGTTAAAGCTTTTTAATACCGAATATTTTGTACTTTTAAGCTTCAATTTCTGAGTTAACCTGCACTTGTTCTCATCGTATTTTTTGCTACTAGTAAGTATGCATGAGCTTTAATCCTGTGTGTTCACTTGTTCACTTATTCATTCTTTGCAAGTCATACAAATTAATTACCCATTCACTGAGTAAATTCTCTGGCCAAAAAGGTTCCTTATACAATATGAAATATTTTTTTCTTTGATATTTACTATGGAAGAGCATATAAAACAGCACAAAAAGAGAACAACAAAGGTAAGAAGAAAAAGAAAAGCCAGAAAAAGGCAAGTAAAAAAGCTCATAAAAAATCTTTTTTGACAGCCATAAAAAGAATGTTGAAAGGTATGGAAAGGTGCTTGTATATATATGAAAAAGGATGAGAGGAGAGTTCATATATGTACGAAGTCGGAGCACCTCTCTTACACACATTATCATCTGAATGGAATTTTTGATTAAATGTGTCGTAAAAAAAGTTGATGAGAACATGAAATATTAAGCAGTACAATTCATAATTGATAACAATAGCTTTCCTGACGTCAAAAATCTTCATTTCCATAGTAACAAGGACAAATGGTTTCAACACACAATGATGAATGAAATTTGAGTTTGTTTATCTAGTTCAAATCATAATTTTTGTTGTAGACCTTTCATCTGTCATACCTCATTCTCGTCATCGTCCTTCTTGTGGCTATTTATAACGTACCTCTTTGTTATTACTAATAAAAAAGAACTGATTTAACCATTCTCTTCTTGAACAACAACATCGACATTACCTCCAACGAACTAAAACCATTCTCTGCGTCAGTTGATTATACATCAAAAAAGTTGACACTGCGGTAATTTGGTTTTTAGTAAGGTAGTTGAATAGTGATAAGAGCCATGACAAACGTAATCATTATGATTATCAAGAGATTTTTTATGTGAGCTGTGAAGAACATAAAAAAACAGCGAATCTGAAAATGTCACTGCAGCAATATCATTGCAGATGCTTATGTGTTCATTATGCGCATATATATTTTCATTTGTAGTATTCATCGGAGTTTCATTTTTCTTCTGAACATTTCTTAACAAATTTTTTAAAGCAACTACAGTTTCTAGTGTTGTTTCCAATCAAGTCTGTCTGGAAAAATCAAATATAAAAATGTTAATTTGAGACTGTAGAACATTTAGAGAAATTCTGAATATTTTTCCAAAATTTATGGAACTTCAGAAAGTTTTGGAAGTTTTTGTTTTCAGCATTTAAATGCACAGGACATGATGAAATAATGCGACTGAATTTTAATTATTGATAACAACATGGTAAGTATTGGTTTTATTTACTTATTTGGAGTTTGTAACGGAATTTAAGTCTTTTATTATCTTGATTAACTACTGGAAGCTTCTGAAAGTTTGGGAGGTGTAGGATGTTTCTCGAAAAAAAAAACTCGCGTAGGTGCTCTGAGTGTGTACGCCTTGAATTTTAATAAAATTCAAATTGACTAATGACAGCTATTATTTGACAGAAAAAAAGTTCTATGAAATTAGTACGATAAAAATTAATACTTTTTTTTATAAATGTAAGGTTTACTGATATCTAGCATGAAATTTGTAATTATATGATGTAGCATTATGTTTTTTAAGCATGCATTCAAACATTAATTTTAATACAAAGGTGTTATATCTATTAGATGGATATTATGAACATTTTAATTATGTATATTATATGCAACAGTGTTGCATCTAGCGATTTAAAATTTCCGTAAACTTTTCATATTTATTTAGAACTAAAATTTTAATTTTAAAGAAAATCTTGCAAATTTGGATTTTAAGGAAAAGTTTTACAATATTTAACAAATTTTTATATGCAAAGGGTTTTCAAGGAACCTCTAATAAAAATCAAAATTGAATTATTGCATGATAAATTATGATTTAGTTTACCTTACAGAAAAACTTATCTTAAATTTGAAACTTACATGACAATGCACTTTAATAGTTTTAATAATATTTTTTTAAAGAAATGTTTTTTAAATTATCAATAATAAATTCATTTTTTGTGAGAATGTCAGTGGCTTAAGGTGTTGCATTTCAATTTTGTTTTAAGTTTGAAAAAAAAACTGATATTTGAAACAAAATGAATTTCGATACAAATTCAAAAGTGTCTTCAATAGAAAGTTCAATTCATGGAATTCGCTACATTGCTGATAGCAAATCAGATAAATCTGTTAGAATTTTCTGGTTAATTATTTTTTTGATGTCGATAATTGGTTTTTCATTTTATGTCTACGGGGTTTATTCAAAATGGATGTTATTACCAGATATCGGAATAACTGCAGATTTCAAACCAATCCGAGAAATTCCTTTTCCGGCTGTAACAATTTGTGCACCAATGAGTATAAAAAATGAGCATGCAAGTTTCAATGAAGTTTATCGTGAACTAAACTTTAACGAATCTAAAACTTCAAATGAAATAGTTATTGATAAACAAAAAATGATTTCAGCAATTGTCCAATCCTGCGATTCTAATCTTTCTAAACTTTTTAAACAAATAATTAAGCAATCTGCGTCTGATGATCTTGTTGACTATTTAATTAAAGGTTCATTTACAACTGAAGAAGCTTTTCATCAATGCTACATAGATAGTGATGTTAAGAAAAATTGCAATGAAATGTTCAATCGAATAATTACTGATAATGGAATTTGTTATTCATTCAACATGCAAGGCTTTAATACTTTATTTAATAAGAATTCAATTCACAATGATTTTGATCTATTTTTTCGCAAAAGTATTAAAAATATTGTTAAAGATCATTCAATTAATTTTGATGATGACTATGAAGATGTTGAATGGACACTTCAGCGAGGTTTTGTTTCAAATGACGATAACTTATTTCCATTAAGGATTAGCAGTGGCAATAGCATCGAATTTATATTGATGCACTCAACTGTTGAAACAAATAATTACTGTCCAGCATTAAGAAATAGCTATAAGATTATTTTTCATATGCCGAATGAAATTCCAACAAAATTTCATGACTACATTTATGCATCCATGAATACTCAGTTTCTTTTTTCAATGACAGCAAAGCATTTCATGACTGATTCTAGTCTTAAAAAATATCACCCTGAAATTCGCAGATGTTATTATGAAAATGAACGAAAATTGAAATTCTTTAAATCATATACGAAAGCTCATTGTGATTTAGAATGCCTAGCAAATCACACACTTAAAGCTTGTGGTTGTACTAAATTCTCAATGCCACGTTCATCAGAAACATCAGTGTGTAATTTGGAAGAAACAGCTTGTTACAATGATGCAATTCGTCACTGGCCTCATGATGAGGAAAACTCTTCAAGTTTTACAGTTCCATGCAATTGTTTTCCACCGTGCAACAACATAAAATATACCACTAAACTGATTGATCATGTCAACATAGATAGTTTGCTGAATACAAAAAATTTCATTGTTTTTCAAAATCAGAGCAAGTAAGATCCTTTAATCAATATGATTTTTTTCATGAATTTGTCTATTTGTTTTGAATGAGATTATTCTTTTCATAATTTAGCATTACTGCAATATTCACAAGTATCAAAGTAATTTTCGAGGAATTTTTAATTGATGAGCAGACTTCATTTGTCGCTTATAAATTAGAGAACTTCATTGCAGAATGGTAAGTGTAATGACGATTTAATTATTGGAATGTTCATTGGAGCAAAAACATTTAATTTTCAAATTTGCTGAGTACTTTTATATTTTTGAATAACTTCTTATGTTTAAAAATTAAAATCCTTTACTCAGAACTTTACGTAATCCATAAAAAAAATTATCCAATTTTCCCACTTTCCTATTAAATTCCTATCAAATTTTATATCTACGGCAAAAACAACGAATTTGTTGAGGAATTACTGAGAAAATCTCAAAATATGAAATTTGATTTAAACGATTTTGATTTGTGAATTAAGGTTAATTTTTATTTTGGATAAAACGTTATGATTTTTTTTTGCATAAACTTAAGAAGGATAAAAAGTTTTCTTATTGCTCATTTCTAATTTTCTTTAATACTGTAAACATGAACATAAATGTTCTCAAAAAAAAAATGTTTTAGCAATATAAGTGCAAAAAGTATTCTGAAATGAACTTTTATAGGTAATTGAATATTTTTTAATTTTATTGCTGAAGTGGAGGATTACTTGGACTTTTTATGGGATGTTCAATGCTTTCCATCGTTGAGTTGTTTTATTTATGCTTCAAAAAGATAACAGAAAAACGAAATCAGCATTTAAATACGAAACGAAAGGAAATTAGAAAAAATTGTTTTTTAAAACACAATAGGTAGGTTTATAACATAGCTCAAAATATCTTGACAAATCAATACAAAATTCAAATTTTAGGATGCTATTTCCACATTCGATGCATGCAGCCAAATTGCAGAAACGCAATCCATTTCTAAAACGGCAATTAAAAATAAAAAAAATTATTCATATTCGTGAAATTGAGTAGAGGATATTTGAGCATCTATCAATCAATCGAATTGAATTGATATCGCATTCAAATAATATGCGATGTAAAATTTTGGATGAAAAGCATTATGAAAACTTGAAAACTTTTGAAATAATCTTTTTATCATACTAGCATTAATCTGGATATGACTTTTCTGATACATAACGTGCAATTTTGATAGACATGCATCGTTGCCTGCTGCAATTTTTTTCAATTAGAAGTTAGAGTTATAATAAAAATCTATGCCATTTTTTAATTCTGTTTACTAAAATTATCATTCCTTGTTAATTGTTTGATAACACGATAGCTATAAATATGTGCAACTTTTATATGATTGCTTAGAGATAATGTTAATAAGTGTGATAAAATCGTATAACTTTGATCATAATTAATATGTAATTTTGTTGAGTGTGAATATGTTAACTTAACTTAAGGATCTTTTTTATTTATCGAAATAAGTTTAAGTTTTAATTTTTAAAGAATTTCGTTATTCACTTTAAATTTTAACTATTCATCATCGTTAACATGCTAAACTTAGAAATGAAATTCCCACGACTTCTATGTAATTCTGTTATAAAAATAACACTTCTGACTTCCTTAAACATCAATTTAAGTGAGCGTAATAAAAACATAAATGAAAAAAAAGTAATAATAAGTTTCATGAATATTCAAGTAAACAAGTAAAGAAAAGATCAAAAATTACTTGGAAATATTAGGGTTCAAAAGAATATCTAATTGATATATATTTCTCTTCATAGTATCGTTTGCGAATTTATATAACTCAGAATTTGAAATCATAGAAATTATAAATTATTTCAGTTTGCTTTAGCATCAATGGACCTTTTATTTTTGGTCTCCATAACAATGAATATTTATTTATTTTAAAAAATAGAGGAGAGAGATATTACCGACATAACTTAAACAAATGTAAGTAACTATTTTTGTATTCATGATCGATATGAAAGAAGAAAAAAAATCTCAGAAAAATTTTGGAATAAACATTTCAATAAATTTTTGTCGAATAAAAACAAAAAATTACTGTGTGAAAATAAACATTAAAAACGAGAATTCAGATTTGAATGTTAATTGTGCCTGGCATACACAATGTGACGTGTTAAAATCTTAATTTTGTGTGAAATAAATCTCATTTTTTTTTAATTTTCGTTTCAAGTGCACGTCACTGCATCAAATTGCATTGCTCTTTGCTTTTTAAAAATTCATTGCATGTGTCAAATTGTGGCGTTAAAAACGACAGCGGTATAATTTTACAGTCACTTATCTGAGATTTTTTTTTGCAAAGTTAAATTAATTCATCCCAGATGCTCATAATGATTATGTTTCACGATGTCTCTGGTTGTCAAATTTGTTTTAAAATTTCATTTCAGACTATGAACAAGAGAGGCGTCAAGAGGCAAAGATATCATAATTTTTTTCATAATTTAAATCTTTATTATAATCATCTGTTGAATATCTTTATAAGCACATATATGTGTCGATAGAGACTCAGTTTTTTTTTGTTGACATTATTAAGTTAGCTTTGCACTAAAATAAACATAGGAAAACATGGTAGACTTGGAGAAGAAGAGCCGAATAAAGTAAATGCCTTACGGCTACAAACAAATTAAATTATATTTATATTTTGAAAGATAAAAAAAAAATAAAGTTGACAGGATAATTACTCTAGTCACACACATAAAACTGTCGACTATTCGCATGTGTGCCTCATGACTTGACGAACGATGAACGAATAAACAATAAAGGAAATTTTGATTCACACGCGAGGGTCGTTGCATATTTTTATTCCATTCTTCATTTTTGATGGTGATTTCTTCTTCTTCATCGACTACTCCTTCATACAAAACAATTCGGTTTTGTTGTTTTTCTTTGTTTATAAACCTAATTGACCTGTAAAAAGGCCTGCAAGCGATCTGGCTAATTGGAAAATGAAATGAGATGAATTGAGTCGTGTTTTGTTTGTTTTTCTTTGTATTCTGACAATTTCATCGTCGACAAAGTTGATTACTCATGATGAGGTATAAGTAAAAGTTAATATGGTTAATGAACTAAATTCATAAAAGTGTATAATCATCTGATCCTACACAAATTGACCTTTTTTTAAGAAACATTGCATAAAAATTTGCATATTTTCCACTTTATTAAATATGCTCTAAGCGATTAACAAGCCAGTTTTAGTTTTTCATACCCTGAATGTTTTAAAAAATGCGGTAAAGCGTAATGCTGCAAAAATTTTACCAAAAACGTCTACGATTTTTTTTAAAATTAATTTTCAATAATAAAAGTGAAAATGTTCGACCCTATGAGGAAGAAGCACCAGATGAAGTCATAAAATTTCAAATCTTGATGACAGTGTGTCTTAAAATGCAATAAAAATAAGCGCACATACATAAAAATAAAATATAAAATGTGATTTTTATTGTCGCTGATGTATATCGAAAACGTGATTAAAGACGCATATAAAAGAGTCATCAAGTTTGCAGCTTTTTAATTTTTTTTAAATACTATTTAATGTTATTGTGCAAAGTGGCCATAAATAGCACTCGACTGAATATATATGTTGAAATTTAAAATTTTTCTCATCTATGTTTAAATGACCCATAAATGGAGAAGGAATCAACAGCCAATAGAACAGAAAAATTGTTGTTTTTATAATTTTTTTTTATCAAGCAGTCAAATGTTGCCATCTGATGACGTTGTTTATTCAACCATAAATACAAATTTCCGGTCGAGTGTGCGAAATACGAATGTGACTGACAAAAATTTACATTTTTCTGCTCTTGACACAAGTTGAGCGAATTTGGAAAGGCCGATTTCAGAATGAAATTGTTTGCTTACGTTAGGTGAGATTTAAAGGAAACTGAAATAAAATTCCAAGATAAAATCGCACTCAGACTTTCTATCCTACAAAGCATTTGTATTGGTAATCCCGTGTTTTTATAATTATCATTCACAACATAATACATGTGCCGAACATGCATAACATTTAAAACTATCAGAAGAACCATTAATGACAGAAACAAGCGTGAAAGTGATTGCAAGGCAAAAAAAAAACAATTATTTTGCAATTTCAATTAGAAAACAAAAACCATAATGCACTCATTATTTTTCAATTCCATACTAGCTGACTGCGGAAGATATAAAATCAAAAGCTTAAGGTTGAATATTCATTTCATATTATGACTATCACTATATGGGTGTGATAGATTATGATTTGCTTAATGTTATAGTTCTGCATAATTATCTATTGTAAAACAGGTTTTTCCTTATTATCCAAATATTTTGATTTAATAAAATTAGGAATAACATAACTGATAGCAGGTTGCATTATTTTAAATATTTAATAAAGAAAAAATCGTTTAATAGAAGTCCTATTTAAAATATTTGTTTTTCAATCAGTATTTCACGTTATTTTATTACAATCTCTATAGTCATTGAGGATTCACGATTCAATAACACTTTCACTCATTTGCATAAAAAGCTTAAGGCAACAATTCAATTTGTTGATTTCTAAACGATTTTTTTTCTTATTTTGTTTTAAATATCCATTTCAGGATGAAAAGCCAGATGGTCTCATCGAGATTCTGCTTTTTTTTTTGATTCCCATGAGCGCAAAACAACCAATTGATTTGCATTTGTTTCATAAATTTTTCGCCCTTTCCTCTCCACACAAAATATTTTCTTTCATTCTGCTCGTATCCATCAACAAATCCAGCAATCGTTTTATCATCATCTGGTTTGTAAGGAAAAAATTATTTGCACAAAAAATAAATGTCTGTGAGAAAAAATAAATTAAAATAATTTAACATGCTGCGAAGATGAATGAAGTTAAAGAGTCACATAGAAATGTATAAAAAGCAGGTACAAAACATCCCTTGAGTTATACAATCAAGAAATATGACGCATTATGTCAACTCGTGTTGATGTTTGATGACTTTATAGAAACATAGGTAGTTCAAAAAATAATTCTTTTT